TTTACTTATTGATTTTATCTTGCCATACACACCCTAATTATTAGCATTTTATATAAAAACGGTAAATTGCGGAAATTAAAATCCTAAGCTATTACATCTCTTTAGGGGATGGGGGATACAAAGGTACAAATGGTGGGTGGAAAGCAATAAAAGTTCTAATTATTACAACCATATTGAATAGTAATGAAAGAAAATATATAGAAAAATATAAAAACAAAAATAATGCAAAAGAGAGAAAGAAAAGAAATCCTGGGTTGAAGCATGTGTCCTTCGATTCACACCCCTTTCATTTTATTTTGTTTGGGCCTGCAACCAGTTTCTACCAAAGCATGCATCCTTCGATTCACACAACCTTTTTTTTCTTTCGTTTGAGCCTGCAAATCAGTGTGTATCGAAGCATACACCCTTCGATTCACACACCTTTTTTTTGTTTTCTTTCGTTTGGGAATGGATAGAAGTATGGGTCGAAGTCATGATAATATTGTTTTATGGTTTGTACATGTTAGTAATTAACATGTATTTAGACAAGAAAAGAAAATAAACGAAAGGGTAGAAACAAAAAATAAACAAAATTTTATTTACATGTTACGCCTGAAACGAAAGGTTTAAAGTCAGGAAGACTTACCTTGAATCTAGAGTTGGTGTTTTGAACTTTGAGTTGCTGCCCTGAATATTCTTGATTTCAAAGGAAAGGAGGAATTTGAGTTCGAAGGATAGGAAATATTGGATTCGAAAGAGAGAACAAACAAATGTGTTGTGTTTCTATGGTTCTGGATTCGAAAGAAAATAAACAAAGGTGTGTTTTTTGTTTTGTTCTAGGTTTAAGAGTTTTTAAGTGTTCTCTCCTCTCTTTTCCTTGCCAACAAACCTCTCTCAAGCCACTAAAAATCTCCCCTTAGATGTGTTGTGAAACATCTTATTTATAGATGAAGTTTGGCTGAGATTTGGGGGGGGGGGGGGGGGGACAAATGAAATTTGAACAGTTTGGATATGCTGTTTTCATAGCTTTTGAGGTGCAACTCTTATATTCTATTTTGGTGCAAATTAGGAGCAGCATAGCAGGACTGCTTTGCAGCAGTTTTGGAGTGTTGTGGCAGCTTGGTGCAAGACTGTTTCATAGCAGTACAACAGACTTGGGCTTGGCAACATATAGGACTATGTTCAGTAGCCTTCGACCATACTCATCAAAAGATAAAACACCAATTGTGTGTTCTTTGAATGGACCTATTGTATGTCCTTCGAATGGACCAATTGTATGTCTTTCGAATGGGCCAAATGCATGTTCTTCGAATGAACCATATTGTATGTCCATCGAATGGTCCAAATGCATGTTCTTCGAATGGACCATATTGTATGTCCTTCGAATGGGCCAAATGCATGTTCTTCGAATGGACCATATTGTATGTCCTTCGAATGTTCCAAATTCATGTTCTTCGAATGCACCAAATTCATGTTATTCGAATGGACCTTTTGTATGTTCTTCGAATCCACCAATTGTGTGTCATAGTGTAGAAACTATGTGTGTTGAAGGGTTTAAAGGTGGAATCGAAGCAAGCATGAGGGGAGCCCTTGCCTTGTGGATGCTAGCATGAGGGAAGCCCTTGCCTTGTGGATTAAAATAAGCATGACGTAAGCAATGCCCAGTTGAAGCTTTGTGAAACCGAAGCAAGCTTGAAGGAAGCCAAAGTCTAGTCGAAGCTTGGGAAATCGAAGCAAGCTTGAAGGAGGCCAAAGTCCAGTCGAAGCTCGGGAATTCGAAGCAAGTTTGAAGGAGGCCAAAGTCCAATCGAAGCTTGGGAAATCGAAGCAAGCTTGCTCTTCTTTGATTTGATGTTTGAAAGTCCAATATGATCCATGGGAAATATATGGGGAATCAAAAATTCAATTGTACTTGTGCAAGCTTTAACTTTTGAAAATCCTTGTGAGAAAATGTCTTGAGAAAAGAGAGGGAAAATTTTGGGGTACAACAGATAGCTATAGTTAGTGTGACACGTTGGTGTGTACTGATGTTCCTTGAGCCAGTCAAGGATAACATTAGGCTTCCGCGTGGTGTTGTTAACACTAACTTGCTTTTAGAACCTTAATTGACCCATCTTGGCCAATCGAAAGTAATGAGATAGCCAGATTTGGTGAATTCTAAAGTTGGTTGATACTCGAGGCTACGCTCATTGAGATTCGACTTTCGGGATGTTTTGGTGGCAAGTCAGTTGCCATACTAAAATAAAGCCTGTGAGAAAGATCTGTGATACGAGATTCTTAGAACCTGGTTACTATTTTAGGGCAGGTTGAGCCAACTTAACTTCAGTGGGGAAGGGTATTTACCTATGGGCTTCATGCAAGCCTTTAAACCTAAGTATCTTGTATGACTTCTTTGTGTTTTCTACTTATTTAACATGAACATAACATCATATCATCATAACATAGCATTTTCACTAACCATTTCAAGGACCTAGAGATTTATCTTTGTTCCTTGTTGCAAATTATGGCCTTCGCTCACAGAAATACTATCTGAATCAACTTTGTAAGGGTACCTTCCAAACTTAAGGAGTTAGTCTCAAAGGTTTCAGAAAACTCTCAATTCATAAAGAGGAATGGTTATCTACTCAGTTAGGTTACCTCAGGTTTTGAAGAAGACATGAGGAGTATTCTATTCCATTTCTTTGATCCTAACCATCACTGTTTTACCTTCCCAGATTATCAGTTGGTACCTGTCATACCCCAAATTTTTCCTACCCTCATATCTTTTCATTTGGCTTATTGCATTGCATTTTCATATCTTCCATTAGGTCATCTGCATATCAGGAATTTCATTCATTAAAGCTCCCGAGATTCAAAGTTCAGTGGTGATGCGATACCAGGTTTTCACAGTGTTTTAATGTGTATATATATTCAATAAATCCTGATTCTTCTAATTCTTCTAGTTCTTCTTCAAGCATTGAATGGTGGCATTAGGGTTTTTGGTTGAGGATTCCTGGATTTATTTCTTCATCAAATATTCATCTAGAGCAAAGTGCATTAGGATTTTCACTTATGGTACTTAGTGTCTCATCAATGGTTACAACAAAGGTTGCTTTGAACTGAGATTTTGGATTAAACTATATTTCTCCTCATGTAGCATCCAAGGTTGTACAATTAGGGTTTGCATTTAATCATGCTTGAGTTTTGTTTAACTAAGGATCATTAGATATCCAGGAGTTATTATATGCTTCAAGCTTTATCATTCGTTCTTAAGGATTCAAGGCACTGATATCTTGTTAATCATCGAGTCAAGATGTGATACAGGGATGATGTTATGAATTCATTGGGAATAAGTCATTTCTAGTTCTCTCATTTCTTGTTATACAAGTCTGGTGGAGATTGAAAGAATTGGATTGGTGTGGTTTCGTTACGGTCAAAGTATTCCTTCAAGTGATTATTTGAGACCATGAGTTCAAGTGCTTCGAATTTGTCAAATTGGACCAATATTTTAATAAGTAAGCGTATTAAGTATGGAAGGTCCATCCTTGTGGATTCCTTTGAATACGAGTCACTTTGAAAAAAGGAAACACGCCATGTTCATTCATGAGCAAGTTTTTGAATTTCAAGTGAAAATCTTTCTTCAGTCATCTCTGAGTTTATCCCGTGATTTATCCAAGAAAGGTTTGGTATCATGTGTTTCATTTAAGTTGTAAATGTAGAGGATCACTGGGAACTCTTAGTGTTAATTGAAGAAGACTTGATTTCAGATAAGAGATGGAAGACTTGGAACTTCCAAATTGATACTTGATTCAAGCTTACAAAGAATATGAAAATTGAAATTTGAGTAATGGAAGGAAAGATAGTTCAAATTTGGAAGAGAAATCTCGTATTCCATCTTCTAAAAATCCAAATCGATATCATTCTTCATTCACCACTAAAATAATTCAAGGTCACAAGCTTCACAATAAAAATCATCCATTATTCAAAATGCCAAGATTCAAGATTTCTTTCATTCAAACTTCGTTCAAACCATTCAAGATTAATACAACTTCTATGCTTAAAAGTTCAAACATTCATTGAAAGTCTCTTGTGTAAGATTCATTCATGGATTAGTTCTCAAAATTCAAGTTACAAAGGAAGTAAGTTAGATTACAGAATACGAGTTTCAAGTACATAAATCCTAAAGTTCTAAACATACACAATATACTATCCTAATCTTAAACCTCGTTCCAACTTAGTTTCCAAACTTCATGGCTTCTTCAAACCTCCAAATTTCCTCTTCATAAAAATTCCTGTCAAGTAAGGATCTTACTGCTGCATACATAATTGTGGCCTTGCATATAATATAGTCCAGCTCATAAATCAAAATCAAACCTTGCCCAAAATTCAGTCCTGCATTTGTTTCAAACAAAAAATCAGCTTAAGCAAGATTGCATCATTTGTTAAATAAACCAGAAATTGAGAGAACTAGATTTGTCAACATACAAACCCAAGCCCAATCTAATGATGCAGCCCAAACATAACACAAAATCAAAAAATAAGAAGAAATAACAGGATTATACAAAAAAATCATACAACTCATAGCTTGCCATCCACGTTTTTCCTCACCTCCACTCCACAAAATCAGGGATTATTCCCTTTCATTCTTATCCAATTTCTCTTGTTCTTATCCTAATTCCCACTCTAATATCTATTATACCCTCACTCCAGTTGTCCTATAAAACAAGCCCCTCATTCCTATCAATTACACACAAGACCCCAACAATTATACCAACAATACCACAGAGAAGAAATTCACAAACAGAATATTGATGCATCTACCAACTCACACAGAAAACTCGGAGGAAACTGATTCAAAAAAATTTTACAAAAAAATGTTACAGAAAACTCAGAAAACTAACCTCTCCAAAACATCTCTAAGATTTTCAACCTTTCGCTTCATTCACAAGCTCCATATTCTCAATAACTCTGCATCATCTCCTTGAATTTTCAACAAACCTGCACAACATCACAACTTCATCATACTTCTCCATGCTTAATCTTCATCTTTCATCCACAGCGTCAACAATCTTCATCACCTCTGTATCACCTGCTTCAGAAACAACAACATGACCACGTAGCGACCATGATCTATTCTTCAAAATTGCACAAGCACAATAACGATTCGCAGAGAAACAGAAACAGAGAAGAAGAAGAGAGTGAAAGATTTTAAGCATAAAGAAGTACCTGAGGTTGTTAAAGGTTCTACAGATTTCTGCTTCCGATATTTGCAGCTTCGAAGCGCCATCGGAGCATCTCCGATTGGTAAGTTTCACACTCATAACACTCTTCAAATCTAATTTTGATTCTTGGTGTCGTAATAAAAAAAACTCTCCATATTGTGATATCGTCATTTATTGCTCATCTGAATCCACGACTCACACGACGAAAGCGGATGAGAGTTTGAAACAGAGAAAGAAAGACGGAAGGCAATAGTGTTTTAGACGAAACGAAAGAGAGGAGAAGATGATGATGACAGTGGAGAGAATTCCTGATGAAGGAGGACAGAGACAGAAATCGCCGGAGGAAAAAGAATTCGCCGCGCCAGGTTTGTGTGAAGAAGAAGAATAGTCCTTGAAATTTGCGATAAACTCTAATTCCCCTTTGCTATTTTTCTTGCATTTTCTTTTTTCTTTTAGATAAACAACCCACTAGTTTATAAAATACAAAATTTTGAAATATTCAATGTTTGTTGTTGGGCCGGGCCTCACTTCTTTGCTTTAGGCTCGAGATGTTTTTTTTTAAAAAAAAGCGAAGCCTGAAGCAATGGAACAAAAAAACTGATCCTGGACTCAAGTTGATGGGCCTTGCGCCCCATGCTTCCATTCACCCTTGATTTTCAGTATTGCACATCCCCTGATTCTTCTTGCTTTTTAATGTGTTATTAGACTTTGCTGAATCCGCTGGGCCGAATCCCACTTTCCTCCTTTAAGCCCATGCATTTTTTGGTAACTTTGAATGCAACAAAAAATTTGGACCGGACTGTTGTGTCGTTGAGACGGGCCTCCGAATTGCACTCCTCCAAGCCCGTTACCATTCTTTTTCTTGAGCCTTTTGCCTTAACAAAAATTTGCTTGTTGAACTATTGTTTTAGGCTCAATCTTGATGGGCCTCAACGCCCAGATTGCTACACTACACGCCATGTTTCCATCTTACACCTCTCCAACCTTATTAAATTTTATTTTCTTGATTTTTGTAATTTTTTCACATTTTTCTTTACTTAAAGCATGATAAAAAAATACAAAAATTAGACTAGATTTTAATCTTTCTTTATTTTGATGATTTTTTGTTTGTGTAATATTGCCATGACCCCTTATGTAATTTTAGTTCAAATTTAAATCGTTGATTAAATTGAATTATAATTAGACTTTAGGTTTAATCCAAGCATGCTAATTTAGGTAAAATTTCCCCTTTCAAACTTAACCTTAGGGCTATTATTGTATGGTAACATTAGGGTTAGAACTAGGTTAGTCTCCTTTAGACTTTTTCATTCCTCTTTTGCATTCCTAAAACTAAATTTCTTTTCTTAATTAAACTTGAAAACCCTCTAACATTACAAAACTCTTTTTCAAGGTAAAAAACACAAACCAATTTAAACTTCTTTTGCCACTTGGCTTTTCTTATGAAAACTCTTTTCATGAATGAATTTGTTTTAGCCATTCCAATACGAAGCGAACTCAATGACTTAAGCCTCTTCAAATGAGCTCCTAACAAGTCAATGTTTCGGCGTTTAGAATGTCCAACACATCATTCTTATAAAAACAAAAAACAAACAAAAAACATTTTCTAGAAGAACTACGAGTGCCCTGATCCCCCACTGCACGAAGGATGGTACGTAGACACTAAAGGTTCACAACCACGGCGGGCACAACTAATAAAAACCTTCTTTCTATATATAATTTGCATTGCATTACCTTGTAAAATTAAGCTTTAGACTTAGATTTTTACACTCTTAAATAAGAACAAACTTGAGTGGATCATGTGGAATACCACATACGTGAGGGATGCTAATACCTTACCTTCACGTAATCGACTCCCTTACCCTTTTCTCTTAGTCGTAAGACCATGCTCCTTTCCTCTCATTTAGGTTTATTCAGTGTTTCCTTTCCCTCCCTTTGGGATAAATAAAATTGATGGCGACTCTGTTTTCCGCCTATCGTTCGCGCTTCGATTGAAAAATCCCAGACGTGATAGTACCCATAATGGAAGAGTTTTCTAAGCTAATTAGAGTACATATTCTTCATTAGATATCCTTCACCGGTTTAGAGAAAGTTCCAAAACCTGAAGTTATTGCAGCAACCTTATATCTGAAGCGGTGAGACATTGTGTCTAATTGGGAAACAAGAAGTGGAGTTAAAGGTCTTCTTGCTATATTTCTGATAGAGAAGGCTGAGTTGTTTCTTGATGCTATAAGTTTTCATGCTTTTGGGGAGATATTGGCTCTGTTGATCTATGGTTTGGTTCTATTCCCTAATCCAGACCAACTCATAGATGTGAACGCCATCAAAATATTTCTTACTCATAATATTGTGCCTATTTTGCTTGGAGATATTTTGCACTCTCTTCACACTCGTACTATGGGAGAGCGAGGGACTCTCCTATGTTGCATAATTTTACTATCCAGGTGGTTTATTTTGCACCATCCCCGATCAGTGATGAAGAATGAACAAGGTTTGAAGTGGTCTCGAAGGATGATGTCACTCTCTCATTCAGACATCTATTAGAGTTCCCGATCTTGGGAGGACATCACTGTTATTGACCGCTATGGGGAATTCCCTAATGTGCCACTCCTTGTCATAAGGGGAGGTATTACTTACAACTCTTCTCTAGATCTACGTCAATTTGGTTATGCTCGAAGAAACGGTCCTCATGATATGCTTATCTAGGGTATTGTATTCAATTACAAGAATGATCCTCAAGGTTACCGTCAAAAGTTTATACGTACTTGGGGCATGGTGAATAAGATTGATAACAAGACTTTGGGACATAAAAACTCCATCCCTTTGGAGCCCTACCTCAGATGGGTGCGATCTCGTGCTCAAAAACTTATAATGCCATATCCTGCTATTCTACCACTAATTGTGGAGCCTGTTGTTGAAGGAGATATACCTCATACCATTTTTCATCCAGATATGCCTACTGACCTTGAAGAGCTACAAAAGTCTTGGATTCAATTGAACGAAAAAAAGGACACCTTTGAGACTCACATCTATGCTAGTGAGAAGAAAATGTTAGAGATGACAAAAGAACTTCATGAAGAGCAGAGCCTTAATGAATATGTCAACACAAAGAGGAAGCGTCCATGGGAGACTCGAGTCTTAGGTCTTTGGAGTTCATAATTTGTTTCCTTGTAACCTTTTTTGTTTTCATTGAAAGCCTAAGAGGAAGTTGTCATTTGAACTTACTAATAAGAGTCTTTGTTTCTGTTCCCTTTTGATTAATAAATTTAAATCCCATGAGGTCCTTGAAAACATTGGATATGCATCTACATGACATACATATCATTTCATAACAGGTTTCCAAGACAAGTTTCTCATCTTCCTATTGTTTATTTTAGCAAAAATGGCTCTCGGACAGACAATCAAAGATCTCCAGGCTCAGAATGCTCAGTTCTAAGAGATGTTCCTAAGCTTAGCCAATGGGAAAGAAGAACTGAAGGCTCTTATCTCCAACGAGAAGAAGAAGAAGAAGAAGAAGAAGACAAAGAAACCAAATGGCATCCTTAACATGCGGAGAAAGTTCAGAGGTCCAGTCAAGCGAGCTCAAGATCTTGATATCCCATTGGACGAAGATGACGAACGGGATGAAGATGGTAAGAGTGTTAAAACTGAAAAAAGCAATCATGATTCTGACAAATGTTCTGATGAAGAGGAAGGGGATTATTTAGATGAACAATATCCCCCTGCTGGAGAGAAGTATAAGTTGTTAGAAGAGCGTCTGAAAGCTATGGAGATCTAGAAGGTGCCTGGCTTAAACTTTGAAGAATTGGGTTTAGTCTCAGGAGTCGTCATTCCTCCTAAGTTTAAAACTCCTACCTTTGATAAGTATGATGGAATTTCTTTCCCGAAGCTGCACTTGAGATCATATGTTCGGAAAATTCAACCACGCACCGCTGACAAGAAATTATGGTGGTGTTTCTTTCAAGAAAGTTATTCTGGAATACAATTGGAATGGTATTATCAACTCGAAGGTACCAATATCCATACCTGGGAATATTTGGATGCAACTTTCTATAGACAATATCAGTATAATTTTTATTTGGCACCACCCCGCATGCAACTACAAAGTATGTCCATGGGTTCTGAGGAAGGCTTTAAAGAGTATGCACAAAAATGGAGAGATCTTGCAGGCAGATTTCAACCTCCTTTGGCTGATAAGGAATTGGTTGACATGTTCATGAGTACGCTAACAAGTCCTTTTTATAATCACCTATTTGGAAGTTCTTCAGCCAGTTTCACTGAACTGATATTGACAGGGGAACATGTTGAGAATGGAATCAGAAGTGGTAAAATTTAGGTGGCTACATCTTCGAATACTGCGAAGAAGTCAGAAAATGGTAAGAAAAAATCCAATGTTGTGTATGGCCAGAAGGGTCGTAATAAGAGTGACCACAACTAATCTGTGGGGGCAGTTATGATCTCTAATTTTGCACTAACACAACATCAATAATAAGGCAATAAGCATAGGCAGGATGCGCCCAAAAGATAGTTTTCCCAAATCAACATGTCGTTGTTTCAAGCCTTGCAACACATGTTGAAGATGAAGCTGATTACATTGAAAGAACCTCCTCAGAACCCCCAACATTTCCTCTCCCTGTTACAATCCCAATGCAAGGTGTGCATATCACTCCAACAGTCCTGGACATGACACTAACAATTGTTGGGTGTTGAAAAATAAGATTCAAGACTTGATTGAATTTAAAGTAATTGATTTTGAAAGAGTTAAAGATGCTGATAGCGACAACGACTCGGCCGCCAAAAATCGAAGTTTCTAGTTTGTTAAATTTTATTTGCAATCTCTCATATTTTTTCAAACACTTATCTTTATGTCAAACTTTGGTCTTTTCCATTAATGTATTGCATATGTTTGTCTTGAATTAATCCATTTGTTATCACTGTATTTAAACTATGTTCTTACTTCTTTTTATGATATTCAACTCTTGTTAAAGTTGTAAGCCTTTAGAAGGATGATGATAAAAACGATACCATAATCTCATACAATATGCTTTGGAACAGACCTTGCTGACAATGTATAGGCATTGCTTCAATTCCTAAATAGTGGAGTTATAAGGAAGTTAATTCCTAGTCAACCCCTTTGAGCCTAATAAGTAGGAGTTTTATTTTTTCATGCAAATTGAAACCCTTAAACATAACTTGGGGTAGGGTAGTTTCTCAGTCAAATCAATTATGTATTCACAAGCTTTACCTTCGTACACGATGAGTAGTGTCGAAGATATTCTTATAAATAGAAAATCGAATATGGTTCCCCGTAATCATTGAGTCAGGCAGTTATTATCTTTCAAAAGAAAAGCCCACTAAATTAAAACTTATGAAGGAGACTTAGCAGAAAAACTGGGGCATCTCGCCGACTGTAATCTCAAACGAAATAGTTTAGGAAAAAGTTAGGGATAATAAAGTAAAAAAGAAGTCACTACAAATCCTTAGCAAAAGAAAGATGTTACAGGAAAAATGAATGCGTTCCCAAATAAACTTATGGTTTCGGAACCATCACCAAAGTATCAGTTCTATAATTCCAAACTCTATTGGAAACTAAATGCATAATTAACTGAGTATAGGACTGAAGAACATCATGGAGAACGGGTTGGGTACAAATAAATTTTGAGCCTTTATCCTTTATTTCTTAAACTATGAACAAAACCACATTACAACTCTTAAAAGTCCTAACTGAAGCATGGGTTAGTTCGAAAGCATATTGTTACGAAAAGGTATCATGACTCTTGTAAGGCTTACTATAAATCCTGAGTTGATATCACATTCTTACAAATTGTTTTAATAAAAAATGCTTTTTTAAAAAACTTCAAGACAGACATAAGCTTTGCATTTTAATACCACTATTTTCATATGACTAAGTGTTTGACAACAGAGAAATTCGCATGACAAATATTCAATGAATGAAAATCCTCCCAATGGATAGAATTACTTCAGATGATGTGTCAAAGAGAAAGAAACTTCCAGTAACATGCCTTTCATGGACCCAATTGGTT